ACTTGGAGACTACTGTTAATTGCCATACAACTGGAAAACTTGAAACTGTAATACCCCTAGCGGGCAGCCTCAGCGTAACCAGATCTATTCTACAAACTGTAAGACCTCAATAGGCATGGCAAACTGTAAGACCTTAATAGGCATGAAAAATTGTAAGACCTCAATAGGCATGACATATTGTAAGACCTCAACAGGCATGAAAATCCCGAAGTTTAGGCTATACGTCGCATGTGTAAGAATCCCTAAAGGGCATACCCTCGATGTAGACGCCTAAACTATCACTAGGGATCAAAAATGGCTACGGCCAAACGCATATGACTACAGTCGAAACGGCTGATACAGCAAAAATAATGCGACTCGGGGATGCCCGACTGTCGCTAAAAAATCGCAGGCCACTACTCCGAATATACTTCGGAAAGAATCGATTAAAACGTGCTTCTCTCAATAGGCAAAAACGAGCCCTGACAATATCGGCTCCAAAACACAAGAGCATCGATCTACTCGACCTATGAGCTATGAACCTTACGAGGTGCTCAAAACATCACCGACAACGACTTGAAATCGAGGTTCCTCTGGAACCGATGACGGGTCAAGCAAAAACACTATAAAAGACCTTAACGAACAGAATCAAAGCCTATAAAAAGCCCACGGGAAAAAATAGCGTAAAAGCCATTGTCGCCAGCTAAGCAAGCCTACGGGCCTCATATTGTAAGTTCTCCACGACCAAATAGCGTAAGAGCCATTGTCTCTAGCTAAACAATCTTAACAACTTGAAATTAAAATGAGCTCGAATCGTAACTCGATTCGGAGACTGGATCTAAAATAGTTAACTATGCAAGCCTCCCGGCCACATACTAAAAGGTCTCAATGACCAAACCGCATAAGTGCTACTAGCGCCGGCTAGAGAATCATGGATGTCGATTACAGCTCGAATATGCCTAAGGGCACAACATAAATGCCACTATCTCCGGCCGGAGAATCATGAAAATTTATGGGTCGATTACAGCTCAAATCGCAACGCGACTCAAAGACTGAACCCTAAAGCTGTCGTATGCCCAAGGGCGCGACATGAATGCCACTGTCGCCAGCCGAGTAAACCTCCGGACCAAGCTCCCATAAGGTCACTTCGACACAAAGCACAAAATCCATCATCATCCGCCCACACAGGCAGGAAAGAGCTTGAGGGCCAATTGAAGCACGAGTCACAATGTGACTCGGAGACTAAGCCTAAATGGACAGGCCAGGCATAGAGGCCCCAACACCTGCTCGCGTCAAGAATCACACTTGAGAGCCCCTGGGTCTATCCGATCCATACCGGACCTATGAGGACCTCACCAAACACCAAAACCGGCTTGACCGGTCGAAAGCAACAACAAAAAAAAGAGAAAAAAGAGGTACAGAAGAAATAAATCTTCAAATTCTTTCTTATATATTACACACATGAAAATGGCGCATTCTCCATCTTCAAGCATGTCCTACGTATATTAGAGACAAAGCGACAAAATGGCAAAATCTACACTCTGATCTAAAGGGCTACAGCTCGTCAAATTCGCCCTCCGCAACATCAACAAGAAGTGACCGAGCGGCATGCTCATCCACCCTTGCTCCAGCCAATTCCTCCGAGAGAACGAAGCCCCTTGCACTGACCTCCTCGAGTACCTTTCTCCAGGATCTACAGCAAACATATTCCTCGATCCTCTTCTCCCGGTCGAGGGCTTGCTTCAGTTCAGCTTGGGCATCAGCTGCATCTTTCATATGAATCGCCATCTCACGATCAGCCTTGGTTCGGCTTAATGCCGCTTCTGCCCAGGCATCGATTTTCTCAGTTCTGACCTTCGAGAGATTAGATTGAAATTTCCCAATCATATCTATTTGAACTTTGGCATTGCCATGAGTCAAGCTGAGTTGGGCCTCGAAGGCAGGGACCTTAGCCGAAATGCCCATCTCCTCTAAAGCTCGAGCCTGCACCTGAGCCCTTAGCTCCTCGCAAGCAACTCTAACGCGATTGACGTCGCCCTTGAGGTACTCCAAGGCCTACGACTTTTTCTGCAACTGATACGGCAAAAAGGAATTAGCCTTAAGGTTAGAAAGGAGCGAAGCACGTACTACAGGAAGTTACATTCTCCATCAAATAGCTCTCATAGTTTGAGCTCCAGTACGCCTCATATCGCCAATGCTGCAGCTCAACTTCCTTCTCCTCGCTAAGGAGCCTAAGCGATTCGCCCTCACCCAGAATTTTCTGAAGCTTGGCACCTTGACGGAATAGCTCAGACCTAAGCCCATTACAGGCATGCACAAGGAAGATTCAATAGAGGGAGGAGGACACGGGATACATGGAAAATGTACATAAAACTCACCACAAAGTGAAGCCGACGGACTTCCTCGAAGTCGGAACACACTCTTGTTGATCCTGCCCCTGAGGCCCCAGAAGAACTGACCCCGGGCACGACATATTCGCTCAAAGGAACTGCCGACCGGGAATCAGGCACTCCAGGAGCAGCAAACTCGGGCGACGCCCTTTTCTCAGAAATGTGAGCCCGACCAGTGCCACTTAAGGCTCCGTCACACTGCAGGTGCTGATCTCTCTTGTCGCCATCGCCCCTCGACCCAAAAGCCAATGACTCCTTCCCCACTTTGGAAGAACATTGCCCCATCCCAGGGTAACATTCCCTAAGTCCCTGGAATTCGACACATGATCTCCAAACAACTCGGAGGGCCTCGGTAGCCCGGATCTACCAGAATCAATCCAAGATTGGCCCGAAGTACGATGATGGGTCGGAGGAAAGCCATGACGATCAGCACAAGATCAGAATGACCGCTCGCGCCCGAGTCAGATATCAGCAGTCAATAAATAAAGAAGACATTCGAAGTGCCTCGAAGGGCATGAGTGCATACAGAAACAAAGCAAAGTAAGGAAAGCAGAAATCGGCAAAATATATTCTTATTCATAAAATTTGCGTACAAGCAGCCCTCAAAGGGTCGTTACATTCAATTAAAAAAGCCTACAGGAGTCTATGCTTAAAGCGGAGGAACAAAAGGATGTACATGTGATGAAACTCGGACGCCCGATCCGCCCTCGAGAATTCATCTCCGGTATCAGCATCCCCGGGCGTCGCACCCTAGAGCACGTATCCTCGAGGGTCACTCCTTCGATCTCCACCTCCCATAGGTTCCCAGTTCAATCCCCCGAGGGATCCCCGCCGTAGAAGAAGAGGAAAAGGAGGGGACACAGAGGAGGCATACAAAAGAGACATGGCCCGCCGAAGCCAAATGTTGAAGATTCGGTGGGCCCCAGCCTCAACGGCCGGTAGTGCCACTTTATCCCTTGGGAAAGCAAAAACCCTATGGATGAAGTGCCACACTAGGCCTGGGTAGGAGAGTGAGCTACGGTGCATAATCCGAACAACTGTCTACATAAAAAAAAAAACCGGCTCCCCGTCCTTCGTCACCTCGGGCCAGCAGCAGCAACAAGGGCCAACATACCGACGACCACAGCAATAGCGGGACAACACACTTATGTTCGATGAAGGGAGACCCCGGCAAAAAGCCACGATGCAGTCTAAGGGAACTCCTCCAAACGGCCTTAAGGTCATAAGCCCGTAACATGATGTTTAAGGGGGAAAGAAGATAATAGGAAGGAAAAGGCAAGCAAGCCAACAGAAGCATTGAGATAGGAAAAACAAAGCCAAGGCAACCTCCATTTATAGGGGATTATGACACGATCATCTAGGCTTTGGAAGACTGAATGACGGGCGCGGTTAATGCATCTATGAAAAATTGAACCGACGGCGGTACTTGTACCTTGGGAAGCAAAAATCAGGGAGTGCAATGAATGAGGTCGAAAAGCACGAGCCAGGGGTCGCATCATTGATATGGCGTCGCTGAAAGAAGCTCGAGGAGTCAAGCGCCAGAATCATTTCCCATCACTTCGATATGGGAAACACGGAGACTATCTATACGCGGCAAAAACATAACTTAATTTCTCGCTGTCGAGACATTTCGGAAGCATGCCCCGGGGCCCCGAGGGTAGGAGGTCGTGACTGAATTCCCTACCTCGGGATTCGTCAAAGCCCGACTCGGAGGAAACGGAGAACGAAGCCAGGACAGAGGGGGAAGCTCTCTAGGCACATGGCTACATCTGACAGGCCCAGCCTATCCAGAGCCTATGATGAACCATCATGTCAAGCCATCCCATCACCGTACTTTGTAATTAATCCCCACATACTTGTAGCCGAGTCTCCCCTCCTATATAAAAGGGACTCGCCCCACCTTGTAAGGGGCTGATGTTGCTCTATTTCTCCACAAGTGCAATAATATATATATATCTCTCTCTCTCTTCTCTTCAAAATTGTTTATTCTCACTGGCCCGAGGCCTCCTTAACATTTATCATTTTCTTATTTGTTCTTCACCATATCGTCCGATATTGACAATATAGAGCCTCGCTTAATCATATCTCTGCCTATTATCTCGCTCCCGATTGCCCGGGTCGCTCAAGCTCGGTTCGAGCCTTGACCCCGAGGTCCCCATCGATCGGCCTTACATCCGGGCAACAAGCCCCTTTGGTTTGATTACTGCCTCGTTTTAGCTCGCATTTTATCATTACACTTCACGTTCTTAGCATTAACTGCTTTAACAACTAGCTCGAGAATAGATCGCGTATTTTTTGAATCTCATTTACAAATTTAATTGTTGTTACCATTTTGACGGTAAACAAAAATCTAACTTTAAGGATGAACTTTTTCTAACTTAAAGTGATTTCAATTCTAGCGGTCGAACCCTAGACATCTAGTTAAGCCTTCTACACATTCGCAGCCACAATTAGACTGCTTCCAGGTTTGGATTTATTTTATAGGGTTAATTCATAAATTTTATATCTCAATTTTTTTTTCTTTTTCTACTTTTTTTATTCGAGAAATCATCAACTCGTGTTTATTGATGTCTCAGAAAATGAGGAACATAAAAAAAAAAAAAAACTTGATCATATTGATCTCGTACATACCTTGCTTTTTAGGTTGAGAATTGGTATATCAGCAGCATCAAAGACAAGAACCTTGCTAGAAAAGAACCCAAGAAGATTTTCAATAGTGAAGACGAGATTTCCATAAGCATCTTTAACTTCATATCCATGGCCAGCACAGAAGTAAACCTTCTTCTTCATGGATAGTTGAAGGGGTTGAGGAGAACAGAACTGTGAACCAATCGCAACTGTTTGATTACCTCCTTCCATATAGAATTTGTTGCCGTTATTTAATTTAGATATAACAAATGGTATTCGAATTCTTTGCATTTCTAGTCTAATTTATACTGAACGCTAGAACCGTGTATGCTATGGTTATACGCAAAAGCGGTGAGAGAATATTCCCAAAAAAAAAAAAAAAATGGTTTACATGATTATTTGACAAGTCGTTCATGTTACAGTACTTGTGAAAGAATAATAAAGGATAACATAAACAACATAGAAAGTTGAATTAATTAACCAATTGAAAATCAACGAATAAGAAAACTATTAAGTAGTCTATAAGAATCAAAGGTTGAAATGTAATCTAGGGATTAAGATACCTTGGGTTTGTATAGATTAATGAAGTATGATAATTCGGCGCCTTTCCTTTTTCTTTTGACTTTGATTTTTGTTAAGATTTTTTTTCCATCAAAAATTTGAAAAGTCCATGCGCGGTGTCTTCTTGGCTCAAGGTGAGGTCACCTGAAAATATATGTACATTTCTTGACGATTTCCAATGTCATATTGTGTTTATTCATTCAAAACGACGTCAGGGAATATATGTCATGACTCGTTTTCTTTCTCTTGTGGACTCTGCTTAATCATAACGAATTGGAACTTGAGAATTACTTTGTATGTTCGGACCCAAAAAAAAAAAAGAAGAATGACTTTGTAAGCAAAATTCAATAATCTAAACAAGTACACCAAAATCAAAATTGTATATGGTCAAAATCATATGTCTCCGATTTATAAGTTCGAGAGTCCGTCCTAGGCCCAAGTGCAGGCGAGGTCGAGTTCGAGACTGGCTGACCAGACTTGAGCTCGAAGACAGAGTATGATGCTCGGAGATAGGAGTGCGAGGAATACCGGGGCCAAGTGTGCTAGACCCCGAAATAGTACCGTTATGGATTTGTACCAGAACGAGCTAGATTCCTGCCACGTCCCCAAAGTCATGCGCAAATTCTGGAATAGGATTGAATGATTCCGTACTAGGCGGTTAGACATCTGTACCAAGAATATTCCTTACTGTAAATAGAAATATACCTTATTTAGGAGTTCTCCTATTGTATAAAGGGGCCCCCAATCGTTTGTAACATCATCTAATCATTGAGAAAAGAATATACTGTCTACCTTTTTGCCTACTGCCTATCAGAATTGTCCTTAGCTTTACTGATCTTACTTTACTTTCTTACTTAATTGTTCTTATTGCTTTAAGCCCACCTCGAGGTCACTAAGCTCGAGGCCACCGCTGTCAAGCAATATTGGTTTGATTCGCTTTTCTCTTTCATTTCTACTTCATATTTCTTGATTATTAATTGGTATTGAACTAAATCACATATCTTTAAAATTACAAATCAAATTTAATTGTTACTCGTATTTTCGAGGTAAACAGTTTGGCGTCCACCGTGGAGCTGAAGATAGTAGTGATTATTTCTTTACTAATTTTATTACACACGTTGTTTTTACACTTTTTCTTATCAAGATTTTCTGATTCTCAGGCTGAAACATTTCTAGCACACAAAACGCACATGTTCATGACAACAAAGGTCTTGGAAAAAATAACAATATAGGGGTCGGTGTACCACCAATAAACCCTAAGGAAGTGCCAAATATGGAGCCAGTTGATATCAATTCACATAATACTCTAAACGCAGATTCAGGCATAGACCTCGAAGGAAATATACGCAGCAAAGCCTGGTCCGATGGCCAAAGAACGCAAGGAATGGGAGATGGGGGAATCAAACTCCAAGTGATATTTGAGATGCTGCAAGCTCAGAAGCAGCCATCGCTCAACTTCAGAGTCAAAATAAGACTCCGAATATAGTCGAACCAGTAAACACTCGGCGTACTAAACTAGCGCCTGAAAAGCCCAATGAAAGTGGCTCGGGGACTGACCCCACGATTATGAGAATGCTTGATGTGCTTATCAAGAGGATCGAGTCCGGAGAAAAGAAAATTGAAGATAATGATAAGAAGATGGAAACTTACAACTCCCGTGTTGACCAAATACCGGGGGCACCTCCAGTTTTGAAAGGTTTTGTCATACCTTTTTTTTTTAACTTCACTAACCCTCTTAAAATAATAAAAGAGATTTGTAAATATTAAAAGGGCTTTTAATTAAAAAGTGACAAAATTATGTTCAAAAGGAAATAACTCAGAGTCGCCACCTGACATTGGTTTTGGTGTGCCAGGTCACCGTTTGTTTAAAATAATTTTCCTTTTAAAATACTTTGGAATCCAAACTAAGTCTGCACCAGAGATTCGGGTAAGGGGGTTTATTTGACTTGGGAAGAAGGTGTCAGGCATTCCCCGAGTTCCGTGAAGGTCACGGTTGCGTACTCGATCAAGTTGGCTATCAAAATATTCAAATTAAGGTAGAAATAAACACAAAAAATAAAACACACAAGAAGCTCGAGGTCTTCCCACCTAATAAAACAAAATAAAAGTAAAATAGAATACTATTCTATGCTTCCTCACACTGCTCCGTCTTCGACCTTCATTTACATTCACTTCGGGACATACCCCAGATAAAATACATACAAATTCTTCGTGGTTTTTTCCGGACAAATTTAACTAAAGGGGTGACCTCTCGTCTCAAAAGAAGCTAAAAGACGAGACCTAAATTCGTCTACCCAAATGTGATCGGCCTAAACATGCACACGACATATGAACATTTAAGTACTTTAAAGGGATAAAAATTGAATGACGCTAGAATACTTAGTAAAATAAAAGACAGGTGAATCAAAGCTATTAAGGAGGAACCAACTAAAGATTTTCCTACCACCCCAACTTCTGACAAATTAATTACGTGAACCTTCAGTTTGCCTTCTTCCTTTTTATTTTTTATATTCCAATATTTATCACACTATACCAACAAAGCACTAAGGTGATCTACTTACCTAACGATACATTGTACTAAATAATATCATCAAATAATTTACTAAGATTGAATGATTGTAACAGAATACTCTAGTAGGATAATGATCATTAAATCATGAAACACTAACTTGCAAACCTCTTTAAAATATATACTCTTAAATGCTTACCACTCAGCTAAAAATAACTACGACATTGAAAATTAATTGTAACTTGCCAAACCTCTTTATATCACTTTAATTCTCTAAAGCCTTATTTACTAGAAAATTAGTCATGGATTAAACCAAAAAGAATTCTAGGAACCAACTCAATCTCAAAAATACCAAAAGATGTGACTAAAAGTAGGATTATGAGCCTCATTTTACCGATTTATTCTGAGGAATAGGCTATTCTAATGTTAAAAGAAAGAACTAAAATAACAGTCATAAGCATCTTGTTCAATTTTTAAAACAATTTCCAAAGACAACTTTCCGCACATTCCATGTTTGGGAGCAGAATCACTAAGCAAAGCAAAGACCATAACATAAGTTAGGATAAGTTTTAATAAGAATCGATAACACAAATGCAAAGTTAATCTCCCTAAATGGCCCTTTCAATGCTTGATTCACCATAAAACAACGAGCAAATAGAATAAGAAAAGAGATGAACCTAAATGAGGTTTCAATTAATTTGTTGAAGATTGCAATTACAAGCGAAACTGATATCAAAATCATTGAAGAACCAATAAACTTCAAACCGAAACCACTGGATTTAAACCTTGAACGATAGCCAACAACGGTGATGAGCTTGAAAGCACTCCTCCTCAATCAAATTCCATCCTTGAAATTAAATCTTGAAATCAAAGGAAGAAGCAGGAATGTATTTTTGTTTTTTTCCTTCTGAAATCTAAAATAAAGAAAAACCTGAAAATCCGAAAATGAATCTCAAAGAAAGAACCCTAGCTTTTCCTCTCTCTCAAACCTTTTTTTTTAAAAAATCTTCTCCGAAATTTTCTTCTTGAACCCTCTCCTTGTGTCCAAAAACCTCCAAATATATACCTCACTCTCGAATCTTCTTCTTTTTCACCAAGAAAACGCGTGGGACCACAAAACAAATCCAAAAATCCCTTCAATGGACGAGATAAGACAAATGGAGGGAGTAGATCGAGTGTAACTCGATCCTACGCACCCCATTTTTCTATTCTGGCCTAAAAGAAACAAATTCGGAAAAAGAAAAATGAAGAGAAAAACAAGTGAAAATAATGAAGCTTGGTACTGAATGTGTGATGTGGAAGAAGGAGAGAAGAAAAGGGGGGACCATGAATGAGATTGGGGTGGAGTTATGGTGGGTTTGGGTGTTGTTGAATGGCAGTGAAGCTTAGAGATTGGGGGGGCTGGTTGGGATCTCTTTAGGTTTAGAGTTGTGACAAAAAAAATCTTTATATGGGGTAGGGAATAAACAAGGGTCGTTGAATTTAACTAGATCAAGGGCTGAGATTAATCTAAGAGGGCTAATGGGTTATGGGCTGGAAGGCATCGAGTCAGGCAATTTGGGCTATGGGGTGTTGGAATTGAGTGGAAGATCTGGATTGGGCCTTATGAAATTCTTGTTGAACAAAAAACAAAAAGCAAAACGAAAAAAATGAAAATCCTACAAACATATTAATTAATCTTAGTTAATTAAATATACTATTAAAACTATTATTATTATTATTATTATTATTATTATTATTATTTATATTTTCAAACATTATATTAATATAAAATTTAGAAAGAGTAGATTAAAAGTTATGGTAAAGCTAAATTAATATCACTATTGAAGTGTTGATGATCTTATACTAAAATGAAAAATATAATAAGATGAGAAATATTATAAATAAAACTATCCTTGTATTTTTGACTTTATATTCTAAAATTTAAAATAAGAGTATATTAGAATCTAATTAGAATAATCCAAGTAAATATATTAAAATACTAAAGATACTAAACTAACTTTAAAAGTGCGCGAGTCAAAAATTATGTGCTTACAGTTGCCCCTCTTTGCATGAAAACTCGAAGAGTTTTTGAGCAAAGAATTAAGTAAGCAACGTAATTGAGTTCTGACCCGGCACTTATTCAAAAGAAGATAAAGATGGATAAAGATTGCGACCGAGCCCTGGTATCTGAGCTGCCTGCATATCCTTGGCTATAAAGGAATCAAGTC